GCGCAGAGTTGAAAGCTGTGAAAGCCGAGCTGACAAAGGCTCAGAACCTCTTATCCTGAGAGTTTAAGAAGGATAAAGAACGGCTGCAAGGCATGGTAGCTCACGAAAGAGATTGGGCGAAGAAGGTTCACGCTAAGGCATGTGAGCGCCTAGAGAAAGTCATCCGGAGTTTGGATGATGCTGACCGAGCTCGCAAGCCTTACCTTGTGGTGAACCAGCTCATTGGGGTTCTAGGCTTCATCAAGAATCTCAAGAAGAAGGGTCTATATGAGGTGCCTCTTGACATGGTAGCGGACCTCGAGTCAAAGTAAACGGCGGCGCTGCAAGAGTATCAATCCGTTGACGCATATGTCCTCACCGAGGAGGATAAACGTATGTCGCCGCTTGCTGAGTCTGAAGAGGACGTTCCTGCTGAAGGTCCAACTGATAGAGGGCAGAATCAAGCGGGAGTTGAGCAGTTCGGGTCGAATGAAGACATGATTAACGCCGAGCAAACCGCTGCCTCGAAAACTGTTTAATTTTCTTATATTTTCTCTTTATTTATCGAACTTAATTGCACTCGATGGGTTTTATTATGTTTTGTACACCTTCTTAACCCTCGGGGTTTTCTAATACGATTTCAAGGTCTTCTAAGTCGAACCTAAGTGTGCGAGATGAGCTCGGCTTATTGTTCTTGGTATAGAAATCATATTGCGGGACTGGCCCCGGCTTAATGATGTGGAGTTTACCACGGCACCGTGCGGGTGTTAGCAAGACGGATCTCAGCTTTTTAAGTTTGCATTCAGGTGGAATGCTGTCAAACAACTGGTCAGGAAGTCGACGTAATAAAGTTTCGAGTTCGGTATTCCGTAAGTACGAACTCAAGTGTCTCAAGATTTCACTTAATAAAATTTTATTGATGTTATAGCTGGACTCGATGACGAGCTGCCTACGTACCCTTAAAAAGGGATCAAAGCCATTCGTAGTTCTAAGTACAAAAGGTGATCTCTCCGAACTTAGGAGTTCAGAGGCTTTTTTTTTTTTAAGATTGGAATGATCGACCTAATAGTATTAAGGCTTGAGATGCATAGAGTTCCAAGATCTCGGGATCGGGGTTCCATCCATCTTCATTAGTTGGTAAACTCTAGGTTTAATGACCTTAATGACTTGGTAAGGTCCTTCCTAGTTTGCTCCGAGTTTTTTTGCATTCTTCTCTTTGGTGTTCTGGTAGATTTTGCGGAGGACGAGTTCGCCATCCTCGAAGTGGCGGCCTTTAACCTTTTTATTGTAGTAACGAGCTGCCAGTTATTGGTAATTATTTATCCTAAGTAACGCCTGTTCGCGCTGCTCTTCGACTAAGTCGATAATGTGGAGCATCATGTCCTTGTTGACGTCTGGCTGTTGAGTGAGTATAGTTCGGGGAATACTAGGGACGTTCAGTTTGGCAGGGCACATGGCTTCTGTTCCATACGCGAGAAAAAGGTGATTGCCCGGTAGATCGTCGAGGCGTAGTTCAGTGAAACCATAAAACACCATCAAGTTTGTCTGCCCACATTCCTTTTACCGTGTCTAACCGTTTCTTGAGGCCTTCGATGATTGTCGTGTTTGTTGCTTCAGCTTGCCCGTTTCCTTGTGGGTACCTCGGGGTGGAAAAGCTTAGACGAATCTTCCACTTGGTGCAGAAGTCAGTGAAGATGATGGAAGTGAATTGAGTGCTGTTGTCCGTGACGATCTCATATGGTACACCGTGTCGACAGATAATGAATTTCTAGACAAACTTCTTGATGTCGATGCTGTGGATTTCAGGGTATGCTTCGGCTTTGACCCAATTGGTGAAGTAGTCGGTAACGATGAGCACATATTGCTTCTGGCTGGTTGATCGATGAAAGGGGCCGATAATATCCATTGCCCATCGGATGAAGGGATATGGTGCCGTGGAGGTCATAAGGAGTTTTGTAGGAAGGTTAATCATCGGGCCGTGGCGTTGGCACTTCTTGCAGGGTGCGGCATATTTCTCGCAATTCGAGAGCATCGTGGGCCAGTAGTAGCCGGCTTTTTTGATCTTTAACGCCAAGGACAAAGCTTCAAAATGATTTCCTCCTTCGCCTTCGTGCACTATTTACATGACTTTCATGATGTCGTTTCCATGAACACAGGTTAAGAGCGCGTCATATGCGTCCCATCGGAGTAAAGTACCCTTGACGACAACGTATCGAGCTGTTCGAGTTTTAAGCCGCCGAGCTGCCCATTTGTCTGCAGGAACTGTGCCATCAGCGATGTAACCAACGATTTCCAAGGTACAGTCCTCGGGTTCGTCTTCGCCTTTGGCCTTGATGTCGATTAGGATGTGCTGTCCCTCGGACTCATCGTCAGGATTAGACTCAGTGTCGCTTTGTGTGTCGGTTCAACATTAAGGTCGGCGACAAGTTCTGCAGACTTTTTTTCTTTGTTAAGGGTGCTACTAAGTTCGGATGCGCCTCGAAATCGCGGAGTCACATGATGATGTTTCATACGAGCGCCGGGTCGATATTGGGTCGATCGATTGCCTCAACTGGGATCGTTGTCAAAGGTCGGGATACGAATTAGAGAGCAGCTAAGGCATCGGCTGAGCCGTTCTCGTCGCAAGGTATCTTCGTGAGCTCAAAGGTTGACAAGTCTGAAGCAACTTCTTTGAGGATTTTGAGATATGCATCCATGCGATCATTCTTGGCTTCGTATTCGCATTGAAAATGGTTTGCTACAAGCTGAGAATCGCAATATGCATGGACGTGCTCAGCGCTGATTCCTTTAGCGAGTCGTAATCCGGCGATAACTTCTTCGTACTCGGCTTCATTGTTTGATGCGGGGGATCTGAGGCGCAATGATTGTTCGAGGATTTTGCCATCGGGAGATTTGAGACGAATATCGACACCAGATCTTTTATTAGAAGAGGAGCCATCGGCGTGAAGGATCCATGGTTGCACGACTGGGTTGGCATCAACAAGCTCCGGAGGTAGTTAGATCAAGAAGTCAGCTAGGACTTGGGATTTTGTCGCTGTTCTGCTTCTGTACTCGATATTATATTCGCTGAGTTCGATTGCCCACTTGGCGAGCCGATCTGACTGACTTGGGCTATGCAGGAAAGTGCGAAGTGGGTGACCGGTCAAGACAATGATGGCATGTGATTGGAAGTAAGGGCGCAGTTTCCATGCTGAGATGACCACAGCGAAAGCAAATTACTCCAGAGTTGGGTATCGATATTTCGAACCGTCGAGGGACTTTCTTATGTAGAAGATTGGTTACTGCTCGCCTCTGTCTTCTCGAACGAGTATGCTACTAACTGCATATTCTGAGATCGCGATGTAAAGGTAAAGTGTTTCGCCGGTCTCAGGTTTGGAAAGTACTGGAGGAGTAGACAAGTACTTCTTGAGTTCGGTAAAAGCTTCTTCGCATTTATTGTTCCACTCTAAGTGCTTGTTTCCTCGGAGGAGCTGATAGAATGGTAAGCATTTGTCCGTAGATCGGGATATGAACCTGTTCAGTACCGTGATACGTCTTATTAGCCGCTGGACTTCACACTTGGTTGTTGGGGACGGGAGCTCAAGGATTGCTGCAATCTGTTTTGGATTATCTTCGATACCTCGTAGAGTAACGATGTACCCAAGGAACTTGCCCGACTTTATGCCAAAGGTGCACTTAGTGGGGTTTAACTTCATGTCATACTGATCAAGTATATCGAAGCAGGTGCGGAGTTGGCCGACGTGGTCAGTAGCAACGATTGATTTGACGAGCATATAGTCTATGTAAACTTCCATGGTTTGATCAAGCTGACTTGCAAACATCCGGTTGACGAGGCGTTGATTCGTCGCGCCCGCATTCTTTAAGCCGAATGGCATGACTTTGTAGCAATGAATGACGTATTCTCTCGATCTTGAGGTTGCAGAAGGATCTGATTTTATCCGGAGAATGCATCCATGAAGGAAAATATTTCGTTCCCGGCAGTTGCTTCAACTAGGCGATCGATGTGTGGTAGAGGGAAACCGTCTTTGGGGCATGCTTTGTTGAGATCGGTGAAGTCAACACATATTCTCCACTTGCCATTTTTCTTCTTAACGACCATCGCATTGGCCAACCAATCAGGATATTTGACTTCGGTAATTGACTCTGCCTTCAGTAAGCATTCGACCTCGTCGTTGACAGCCTGTGCTTTTTCTGATCCAAGTTTCCAACGTTTCTGCTAGATCGGTTTGTAAGTCGGGTCAATGTTGAGTTCGTTACAGGCGATCTGTGGGTCGATTCCGGGCATGTCCTCAACCGACCATGCGAGGTGGAGGAATGCTGCTTCAAGAAGTGAACGAGGCTTTCTCGGATCTTCGGGTCGAGCTCAGCGCCGATACCGACCTGGCGTTCTGGTCGTAGCTCGTTGATGCAGACTTGGGTGATGACCTCCTGCTTAGATTTTGTTTTCTGAATGATGAGGTCGGTTTTTGTATCTTGTGAGCTAATGACGCAGGCTTGATTGACTGATCGGAGTTTGCACTCATTGATATAGCATGATCGAGCGACGGCTTGGTTACCTCTGAATGTGTATATGTCGTTGGGGCTTGAGACTTGAGTCATTGGTGATACGTTGAGGCAACGACTTTCATCGCATGGAGCCAAGGCATTCCCAAGATAGCATTATAGATCGCTGGTTTGTCGAGGATGAGGAATTGGATGATCTTTACGACTCCGGCGAGGTAGATTGGGGTTTTTATTTTTCCGACCGTCATGCAACGTTCGCTGTCAAACCCGGTGAGTGGTTAGATGAAAAGTTCAATTTTATCGGCTGGGATGTCGAGATGGTCGAGTGCGTCTTTGAAGATTATGTTGACCGAGCTGCCAGTATCGATGAGTATGCGGCTAACTTCAATGTTGTCCAGAAGGAGTTCGACGACGAGAGCGTCGTTGTGCAGCTTGTGCAGTCCAATCGTGTCGGCTTAGGTGAATACCAATACAGTTCCTTTCGGGGTATCGTGCAAGAATTTAGGTGCAGTGGCGGCCTACCGGCTGTACTCCTTGATTACCCAAACTGAGTAGCTGCAAGTTTCGATGGCTCCCATTATCATATTGACGCGTTTTCTGGCTTTGGGAGCGTGGTTCTCGGGTGCCGGTTTGTCGCGGTTGCGTTTCTGTTGCTCGGGTTGAGCGGGTGGATTCGGTAACATCAGTGGAGGAGGTGGTAATGCCGGGAGGTCCTTTGCAACGGTATTATTGGGCTGTGTATTATTAGGTCGGAGTGACATGTTCCTCTGTTCGGTTGAAAGTCGGAGATCGTCAAGTGAGATCTGCCCTTTTCGATACTGTGCGAGCAAGTATTCCCGTAAGTGTCTGCAATCTTCGGTGCTGTGTCCTTTGTGATTGTGGAATTCGCAGAACAACGTCTCATCTTGGTCCTCATTATTGCGAATCCATTTGTTGTTCCATTGCTTGTTCGGCTGTGGGACGGCGTTGGTGTAGAACCTTTTACGATTCTTGTATCCTCTGTCGTAACCTGATTGGGGCTCGTAAGCATCAGCTTTAGGTCGTTCGAGATGTTTGGCTGTGTAGCTTTGATCGTGAGCTGCTTCTTCTTCCTCTTCTGCTATGTAAGTATTAGCTCGGTGCAAGGCATCCTCCAAGGTCTGAGGTGGGTTATGCTTGATCGCGCTTTGAAAACTTGTTTTTATCTGATCTCCTTTCTGCATGCACAGGAGGGCGGCTTCATCGCTTATTGTGCAATGGGCAACCACTGTTTTGAAGCGGTGGATGAAGTCGCGGAGGCTTTCGTTTGCACCTTGAGCTATCTGCCACAGCTCGGAGTTCTTGGTGTTCTGTCCGATGAACATGGAGAAATGCTTGACAAAAGCCGTGGTTAGCTCCTTGTAATTATTTATCGAGTTCGTCTCAAGCCGCGAGAACCAGTCGAGAGCAATTCCACCCAGACTTTCAACAAATAGTTAGCATTGGATCGCGTCTTTTTCTTCAGCAGACCTGAACTGGTATCGGTTCATGATGATCCCGAACGAGGTTAAGAAGTGTCGTGGATATATTATTTGAATTTAAAATTAATAAATTTAATTAATTATAAATTCAAAAAATTTACAAAAAAAATTACAAAATCTAATTCAGGTTTAAATCATAATTGATATCGTCGAGACTTATATTGATGTCCCCCGTCTACGTCTCACCACCGGTACTTGTCTGACCGCCATCATCCGTCTAACCGTCGTTCCCCGCCTGACCGCCGGATGCTGCCTCACCGTCGGTAATAGTCCGCGGACCAGAAGAAGTGGCCCGTGATTGCCGTTGCTTCTCTCTCAATGCGGTCGCCAAGTCCAGGATGCTCGCCGCTATGATATCAAAGAGGTCGTTGAACGACTGGATCTCCTCCTTTTGAGTGATTTGCTCAGTCCGCAAGCTGGTGATCTCTGTGTGGACGACTTCTAACTCCTTACGCAAAATAACCGGATCCGCATAAGCCCGGCTTCCAGTGGTGGAGGCGACTGGACTGTCTCTAATAGAGCTCATCCCTAAGATACAGCCATTCTTCTTCGGAGCAACCTACAAATAATGAATTTCAAAACTTTGTATAATTAAAAACTATATAAAGTAAATTATTAGTTAAATGTTTTAAAAAAAAGTTTTTCTCAATGTGCATGACATCAAGATAATGTCTTAGCAGATGATCTTTCTAGTATTGAAGTTTCCAAAAAAATGCTTTTTTTATGCCAATTATGATTAACCCTATATCCATCAGGCATATTCGCTGGAGTGTGTCAGTTTCCCCCTGGACCGGCCGTTTCAAGTTCCTCCCAATGATCTATTTGTGCTTCAAAATCTTGCCCTTTTAGATACATTGGTGGAGAGAGACGAACATTTTTGTTATTTTTAAACAGTCACTTGTTTCTTCAATATTGATGGTTAGGTGGTTCGATGGTGACAATCAAACCAACATGTTTTCCGACCATGTTTAAGCTGAAATGCATCGGTCTTATCGAGACAATAAGGACAAGATAACCTCCCTTGTATACTCCAATCTGATAGCATTCCATATGCAGGGAAGTTGTTTATTGTCCACATAAGCACCGCTTGCATCGTAAAGTTTTTGCTCCTTGAACTGTCATATGTTCGAACTTTGTTCTGCTACAACTGGTTCAACTCATGTATGAGTGGCTCCAAAAACACATCAAGTGCTCGCTTCAGGAAACTCGAAATGTTCTCGCAATTTCTGCTTCAGTTCCCCTTCGTGCTCATTGTTCTCTTTGATTCTAATTTCAACTTCAGTACTAACTAACACGAAAAGAAATCGGTTGGATTTCTCTCTAATCGTCAAATTTCCCAAACTCGACTTCCCCTCACTCGGTTTCCCCTCATTCGATTTCCCCTAAATCGCTTTCCCCTAACTTGATTTCCCCTCAAACCCTAATTTCTTATTTCCCCCAAATTGACTAAGTGTATTCGTAAATACTTACACTACCGTGCCATTTACCAATGTAAAAAACATCAACACACATTAAAAAAACATGTCGTTTAAACATATCTAAAACATTGTGTTTTGAATTCTGTTTAATATTTAAACAGAACCTCGTTATGTTACGTCATTGATATGAGCCTGGGCTATTTAACGGATGACTTCGTGGGTCGGATGTTTGACTTGCATTATTGCGAGCTCATGGATTTATTGCAAAAACAATAAAGTTGCTGGGTTTATTTGCATTAAACCCTAAAAAATTTAAGATTGTTTTGGTAAAACAAAATTTTGGGGATTTTTTTGGTTGAACAAAAATCTGTCATTTTTCTACCCAAAAAGTCCCTTTTCAAAAAATTTCAAAAATAGAACCATTATGGATGATTAAATATTTAGAACTAAAAAATCTAATTCGTTAGTTTCAGAAAAAAATACTGATATAAAAAATGAAATCACTTGTTATCATCTAAAAAATATTTTTGAGTTACTGGCATGTGATTAAATTAGAAATCCAATATGAGATGAGCTAGACAGAGTTCCTGAAAGACTTAGACAAGATCAAGATATTGACCATATTTCATAGATTTGTTAGAGCTATGGATGGGCCTCATGTATGAGTAAAAGTAAAACCAGAATTACAAAAAATGTATTGGGATCAAAATGATATTGTATCCTTAAATATTATGGCAATATATGATTTGAATATATTATTCACATAAATTTGGTATGGATCACACCTGGATGATGCCTCGATACAATAGTTTTGACATTAGCATAACAAAACAATTCTGAATTCCTTTTGCTCCCACCAGGGAAGTATTATCTCGTTGATTTTAGTTATCCAAACAAACAAAAAGTTTTGGCTCCTTACACATCATCACGAAATAGAGTTGTGAGATATCATATGGCTCAGTTCAATTCTGATCCTACTCCTAGGAATAAATAGGAACTCTTCAATCGCAATCATGCATCTATACGTTCTATTATTGAGAGGACTTTTAGATGTTGGAAGAAAAAGTGGAGGATGTCAAAGAATTTCCAAGATATAGTATTAAAGTATAAAAAAAGTGGTAATAGTTACAATAGGATTACATAACTTTATCAAAATTTCAGATTTCTCAGATCCAAATTTTGCAAATGCAATGACAGAAAAAATATAAGCAATATATTCGTGATTCGGACACTGATTCCACAAGACCTAAATTTTTAAGTGGCACTGAAGCAGCAGAGGCAGCAAATGGACAATATATAGAGCAAATAAGAGACAAAATTGTAGATATATTATGATACTGTATTGTACTTCATTTATTATGATTAACTATTTTATTTAATTTAATAATATATATGTAAAACTCTTACCTTAAATAAATTTTGGGTATTTAAGGTTCATATATATATATATATATATATATTAAATTATTTCTCATTAACCAAAACAAACAACTTAATTATAGTTATACTAATTATTATATATATAATTTTTTTTTAAAAAAATATTTATTTATAATCTGTAATCCACACTGCTTGTTGTTTTCCACTGATACTATAATTCGTATTCCTATCTCTTCATTTCCTATTTTGGTCTATCTATATTCCAGGAAAATCATATGCTCCATGGATGGAGTAAAAATTGGAGTCTTGGTCTCTTGTTTATTATTCAAACATTTTATTTTGGTTCTTCTTATTATAAGACAGATTAGAAAAAAAATTATTTCTACAAAATTAACTTCCGTTACTTTTCATATTGAACTTCCATTCTAAAGAGGATTAGGAAAAAATATGTTCATATAGAAACTTTCGTTAACAAACAAATTATTAAGAGAGATTTTGTAAAATAGTACAAAATGAGGACCTAATTACCAGAATAGTACAATGTTTGAGAAAATTGCAAAAATTGTTTTGTTTGAGAATTTTTTTTAAAGTTCAGGATTTAAGACGACCTTTCACACTAAAACCTAAACCCTTAAAAATAAAACCTAAACTTTAAACAATAAACTTTAAATCATTCCAAAAGTTTCTGAAAAAGACTATTTTGACCATTTTCTTAAAAAACCATATTATTCTGACAATTAATTGGTAACTTGGTACTCAGAACCGTTCATTTTTTATTCTAAACACAAAAGTTCTCTCACTTAGTATTAAAAATGGCTCCCGAAATTCAAAAATTCCCCACACCATAATATAAAAGAACCCTCTTTCTCCTTGATTATTTAGATTGGTTCCAAAAAGGTAAATCTCCTCTCCTTTTTAGTTCGAATCTTACGAAATATGGTTTTGAGAAATTGGAGTTTTGGAGTTATTTTGTTTGGTATACAAATAAATTGTTTCAGTTTGGTTTGTTGTTTGTTTGATTTGGTGTGCCTAGCTTTAGCTATGTGATTATTGCTAGGTAATATGATTTCTCAGACAATCCTATTTTTGTAATTCGCTTCTCAATAGTTTTAGTATTTCTTTTAACTTGCTTTTAGGATAATTGGTGTTTATATTGTTTAGGCCATGAAACTCAGAGAAACTAGTAGCTCTATGATGTTTAAGGCTTTTTAAAGTGAATGCTTAAAGTATGATGGCATGTGCATAATGGACCTCATTCAACATAGTTTAATGACTGATGCCACAGGAACAAAGATTAAATTGCCTCTGACTAGATACATAATGGGAGAAGAGATCAATTAACCATCCAAATGAGTCAACAACCATTCGACATATATATTTGTACGTGGAGATTCTTGAAGAGATAATCACTGATTCTTTATTCTCTTAATTGAAAAACACATTCCTAAGCCCAATCATCAAAGCAGGTTCACAGAAAGAGGTGGTGCACAGAAAAGAGATGGATTGAGTTTTTACGAGAAATTTATTCATTTTATATTGCCAGACAGATTTTGATATTAAGGAAATATGAACTCTGGCTTCCCCTTCGATGGGCAACCGATGAGATTTTCATTACGCCAATATCACTTGGTAACTAGACTACCATGCTGGAAAAAAAGATGAAAAAGCCCCAAAAGAAGACAAGTTCGAGTGGCCCTTATGTGAAAATAAAACACACATTTGTGATGATTTGATAGATGAATTTTTAACCTAAGGATGCAGAGGAAGGCAAACTGAGGCTACAATGTTCGTTCTTGTTGGGAGTATCTTATTGTTGTGATATGCGAGGGTCAAGTCCACTCTCCGAGAGCATATGTGGAAATGGCGAAAAGTGATATGACAAGTTAATCTTGGGGAGAAGTTTCTTTCCGCTTACTGATAACTGATAAGTTTTGGAAATGAGCTTTCTTTTACTGCTTTGTAGGAGAATGCAGAACATAATCTGAAAAGATTTCCTATGACATTGCATTTGTGGCATTTTACTTCTGCCAAACTTAGAAACTAAAT